AATGGGTAGTTATTCACTTTCAAGGTGATGAAAATGTCTTATAATTAGATTGTGGTGATGGCTGCGGGATTCTTTAAATAAACTAAAAACAATTGAAGTACAAACTGAAAATCAGGAGATTTTACGATATTCAAATTCTATTTATTATTGAGATAATGCCATTTTAAAAGTAAAAATATACTACAAAAGAAGAGCAAACTGCTGGGTACCAAGGCACATGCCTATCCATGGAAACGGGAGGCTGAGGCAGGAAGAGTAACCTAGCAAGTCCCCAGATAACCTAAGGAGACCTGTCTCAAAAAAAGAGGCTGGCAATGTAGCTGTTGGGCGCCCCTGAGTTCAATCCCCAGTCCTGCTAAAAAAAAAAAAAAAAAAAAAGACTGGGAGTGTAACTGGTAGTGAAGTACCCCTGAGTTTAACCCACAATAAATTCAAAAAAAAGAAGAGCAAACTGAAACCAAAATAGGCAGAAGAAAGGAAATAATAAAAGCAGAAATGGAGGAAAATGAAAACAGAACTAGAGAAAAATCAGTGAAATGAAAAACTGATTCTTTGAGATAATTAATAAAACTGATAAACCTTTAACTAGTCTGATTTTTTTTTTTTTTTACAAAAAGGGAACAAGAGAGAAAAGATGCAAATTACTATCAATAATCAGACCTCTTATAGCTCAGCATGGTAGTTCACTCCTATAATTCCAACAACTTGGGAGGAAGAGGCAGGAGGATCACAAGGTCAAAGCCAGCCTCAGCAACTTAGTAAAACCCTGTCTCAAAATGAAAACTAAAAAGGGCTGGGGATGTAGCTTAGTGATAGAAGGCCACTGAGTTTGACCCCTGATATGGCGAGGGTGGGTAAAGAATTAGAGCAACATCTCTACAGAGCCTACAGAATAATACGGGAATATTAATAAACAATTTTACACCTACAAATTTGACAATATAGATGAATAAACAAATTCTAAATTACTAAAGTTCATTTAAGAATAAATAATCCAAATAGTCCTATATCTATTACAGAAATAGAATCTGTAAAAAAAAAAAAACTTTATAATAGGACTGGGGCTGTGGCTCAGTAGTAGAGCGCACTCAAGGCCCTGGGTTGGATCCTCAGCACCACATAAAAATAAATAAGTAAAATAAAGGTATTTAAAAAAAACTTTATAACAAAGTTAACTACAGACCCAGATGGCCTCACTGGAAATTGTGATAAAATTGTGATAATTATATCAATTTTATACAAAGTCCCAGACAATCAAAGATGATGGAATTCTTCCCAATTTATTTTATGAGGCCATCATTACTGAAATGAAAGCCAAAGAAAATATTACAAACCAATATCCCACATGTGTACAGAGGGGGGAAAATATCCTTAACAGCATATTAGCAAATCATTGGAATGCAAGTTAGTTCCACCTTGAAAATCAATGCAAGAAACTAAAGAAAACAT